TCCCGCTTCTAAGTACCCCACCGAAGCTTGGGTACGTAAGCTAAGATAGAAGAAAAGATGCCTACCTCCTTGGCTTTTCAATCTCAGGCGTACCATAGTTGAGTATATCCCATCCAGCGTAGCTCCAAAGACCTCCATAGAAGGCTAATGTTAGTTTACCCGGCGCATATACGCTACCTTCCATCATATTTTCTAGATTTTGCGTCCAACCTGAGATGATTCCATGATGATTTGAAAGAATAAATTGGAAATTATGTAAAAAGCACCTTTAAAGATGAGGTAGTAAAATCCCGTAGCAATGATAATACCCATGGCAAGCATTTTTGCCGTCGTGACAACGACTTGAAATCTTCCAGCAAATCGATCGATGGCGTAAAAATTCAGGAATGTCAAAACAACTGTAAATTATCAAAAAATTTCACATCGATCTAGAAATTGATTGCGTCATACCGACAATAGAATAACCCAAAATACGCTCCGTAATTTCATTCCATGGCGACGGAATCGCCAATGCCGGGGATATACCGTTAACTAAAAAGAAGTATAATCTTGAGGAATCACACGTCTAGATTCTCACCAATATATTGTCCAAATGTCAACGCTTGTACGGCAGCTGAAGCGGGATATGTAACAAAGACCGATACCCACATGAAAGCAAAAGCGATAGCTTCCCATCCAACATAAACGGCGTAAGCAAAATCACATCCAGGTTCTAATATGGAGGTACCCAGTTCGATGTAACATATAGCACCTAAACTATGGATTAATCATCTCGGATGTTTCTTTCAAACACTATCCATTATAACTGCTGCTTGATAAAGGCATTTTATGTGTTAAATGCAGCAAAAGAGTTTGGTAGTAGTCAAGCGTTTGCACATGGGATGTTTGAGTGTCTGTGCAGAGTGAATTCGACCCATTTTGGATTAGCTAATGAATTGGAAGTTATTGAGAAAGACTCGTGTCGTCGCCTTAAAGGCGGAATTTCGTTTTCCAGTTGTTCACCTTTTCGGGACCTTCTCGCCATGAGGAACCCATA